AAAGAAAAACAAAAAAGACTGTGTGCTATTGCGACTTTGAAGCTGATGACCAAGTGCAGACTAGACAGTAACTTTTAGGTACAATGAGAGACTTTCAGGCAACTGCCAAGTCGACAGGCAGCATGGAACAGTGCTGAATTCTGTTTCACCAGAGTGAGGTTTGTAACTGGCATTCCTCCCTACAGTCTTCGGGTAAAGCCCAGTCCAGGTACGACCAGAAACTATAAACCAGTTCTGATTGTTTGACATTGACCTAAGAAAATTGAACATTGGGGGCTTGTTTGAGTCATTGTTGTTGTGGTTATTATAGCATCAATAGAAAACTACCAATAAATAAATAAAATCTGGTTTACCCATATAATCAAATACTGTTCACCAAACCACACAATGAAAAAAAAAATCTCAAAACAATTACACTGAGTGATTAAAGATCAAAAAAGATGTATGGGATATATGACTTCATCTCTGCAAAGTTCTTAAAAGGTATACAAGGAAAAGAAACATATGCCAGGTCTGAGGATGGAATGGGAGTGGTTTGGGAAAGATGGCTTATAAAGGTCCATTAGAAAATTCAGGTTGTAATGAGCACTATAGAACTGAATTAAGTTTATTATCTTTTATGAAACGGTGACTTCATAAACACATAAATTAAAAATCAAAAAAACAATATTTTAAATACTGCAATTTGTTTTAAATGGATAATCTTGAAAAATGAGACTTTAATTCACCAGCAAATTTAATATCATTTTATTAAATTGATAAAATCATGTGCATCCACATCTAAGTGTTTTAAAGTTTGCAATCGAGAGGATGGTATGACTTTGTAACTCTCTGAACCAGCACATTCTAGCTATCTATTGTCCTTAGTAACAGTACAACCACTAGCATGAGCTGGAAAATAAACAGAAATTTAATCAAGGTGAAGCCATGACTCCCCCTTCCCATCTTATGTAGTGATCTCTAAACTTTGTTCCACAACTCTGAGTTTGACTATCCTGTGGTGTGAGATGTACTTGAAATTTTCTTTGGGCCACCAACCAGCTCACAAATAAAGACATGGAGACATTGTTAAGTATGAATGCTTGGCCTTAGTTTGGGCTTGTCCCACTAGCTCTTTTAACTTAATTTAATCTGTTTCTGTTGACCTACATTTTGCCTGAAGGCTTTTTACCTTTCTTTCATTCTGTATGCCCTACTTTTCTGCTTCCCCTGTGTCTGTCTGTCTGTCTGTCTGGCCCCTGACATCTACCTATTATTTCCTTTTCTTTCTCCCTCAAGCCTAAATTCTTCCTCCTATTTACTCTCTGCCCAGAAGTCCCGCCTATATCTCTTGCCTCACTATTGGCCATTCAGCTTTTTATTAGACCAATCAGTTGCTTAGGCAGATGAGGTAAAACAGCAATACATCTTTACATAATTAAACAAATGCAACACATCTTGTAAACAGAAGGTTTCTTTCTCCCACCCTGTCCAGCAGCCTTTTCTAAATAATAATCACTCAGAGTCTTAATATTAATTACAAAACTTCTTGGCCTATAGTTCAGGCTTATTACTAACTAGCTCCTACATTTAAATTAACCCATTTCTACTAATCTGTGCATTGTCACATGGCTATGGGTTTTACCAGTCCGCTGGCATCTTGTTTCTTGGGCAGTTGGCTTGAGTCTCTCCCGACTCTGCCCTTCTTTCTTCCTATATTCAGTTTGGCTTCCCCACCTAGCTATATTCTGCCTTGCTATAGGCCAAAGCAGCTTCTTTATTAACCAATGAGAACAACATATATTCACAATATGCAAAAGGGTTATCCCACAGCACATCTTTATATAGCTAAACAAATATTTCAAAACAGTGAGATATTCTAATTTCTTGCATGAGTCACGCCTATTCAGTTAAGTTTAAGGATATGGTAAGGCCAAAAGTCTGCTCGTTCCGTCATTATATATTAGCAGTTTCAATGTGGTATGAGGGAGGAAAAAAATGATCCCTCTATCTGTATAAAATCTTAGCTGGGGCCTCTGGGGGAATAAAAAGACAGTTTAACAAGAGACAAACAAGCAGAAACTTATTAACATGTGTATTTCAAATGCATATGAGAGTTACCAGGGAATAAGGAATTCCCACAGTGGTTTAGTAATCTGGGTTAGAACAATATCTTCCAGAGAAAAATAAACCAGAGAAAAGCTAAAACAAAGGAAAAGAACCCAAGTCATCAACCCCAGGACATGAGAAGCCAGAGCTGAGGGTAGAAAGGTAGATTCCAGTTTTGTTTTGTGGTTCGTCTGGTGTTCGCAGGCTGATTCGGATAGAGAGAACCCTCGGGTTGGTGATGAACTCCAATCCTCACTCTTTTCCTGGAGAGAAGGGACTACTCTCTTTGAGAACTCGTGTCCTGCTTTTTGACAAATGAAGTCAAGGCAAGGAGCTTTTTATATTTCTGCCTCTCAGCCTCCGGCTTAAAAATAACTCCAATCCAAAGCATACTTTGGCATGGCAGACTGGGCTGTCAGGCATCGGGATGAGAGGTTACTGAAAAGTGGCCCTACCTCACGCATACTGGGGAGAGAAAGATGGCCTAGTTTGAGCCACCCTTGAAAATTCCAAAAGCGGCCCAACTGAGACCTGCCAGTACCCTATCAGATGTGAGCGGTGATGACCAAGGAAAACAGCAATTCACCAAATGCAGATAAACAGACTCAAAAATGAGTGCAAAGACCGGGCAGAAGCAAGGCAATGCCAGGAACATCAAAGTAAACTGGTACTGGGAAAGGCAAGGACAGGATGCTAAAACGGAGAAACAGCCTTTCCTGATGCGGACAGCTTTTCCTGATGCGGCTCTTTCTCCGCAGCAGGAAAAGCGCACCTGTGAAGTGGTCTGTTGATGCTACTGTCACAGTCACAAATGACAACTTAGAGCGCCAGCTCCCAGCCCCTGAAGGTACTAGGAAATCATTGTCACTTTCTCATAGCTGTGACAGCATGTCTGACATAAACAACTGAAGGGGAGGAACGTTTGGAGTTGCTCAGTTTTCAGAAGTTTAGTCCATTATGGTGGGGTGGGAACGGCAGGGCAAAGCTGTACAGTTTACATCAAGACAGCCGAAGAGCTAACTGGCTTTTTCCTCTTTCCCCTGTTATTTCACCTGAGCCCCTAGCATGTCAGATGGAGCCACCCACATGCAGGGAGAGTTTCCTCGCTAGGTTAATGCTCCCTGGAAACATTCTCAGGCATGCCAGATGTGTGGTTTACTACTCTCTTAAGAAGCTCTCAGTCCAGTGAAGTATATCATCAAAAATAAGCATCCAAGGGCTGGTGAGACAGCCTCTGCAATTAAACACATGTGCTGCTCTTGCAGAGGACCCAGTACTCACATAGAGAAATTCACAAGTCTGTAATTACAGCTCCAGGGGCTCTCAGGCCTCTTTTGACCTCCAAAGGTACCTACCTACCCTGGTTCACACACAGCCATGGAATATGCCCTAAAATGAAAAGGCATCGTGATGTTCAGATTGCAGGACTGGTTGCAGTGCTGATGCACTCACATCCCTTCTGCCACACCAGAACAGACCAAGATGGCAGTGGATGGAGGCACTTTCCCGGCATTCACTTCTGCCAGTTTCTGCTCACAACAGTGAACAGCTGTGTGCAAACTGGGAAACACTGTACACGATGGGTCAGTTTTTGGGGAGTGGATGGGTGGGTGTCAAGTGGGAGAGCACAGGTGGAAGGAGCTAGAGGAGGGGAGGCAGTGGGAACTGAAATAGGTATGTAAAATTTCAATTAAATAATTTAAAAAATGCAAAAAAAAAAAACCCCACCTCTGGTTCAGGGATAAAGAGAAGGCTCCGCAGTGAAGAGCACTTGCTGTTCAACTTCGAGTACCCAGGGGACAGCTCACAACCACTTGTAACTCCAGTTCCAGGGGACCCAACATCCTCTGCTGGCCTTTCCTGGCACCAAGCACACATGTGGTGCACATACATACATACATACATACATATATGCAAGCAAGACACTCAAACAAAAATTTTAAAAACTGAAACTGGAGATGAATAGGCATCCAGGTTCATTAGCAAATGTATAACACAAAGTACCTTCAGTAAGAAGAACAAACAGAACAGAGTCTGTCTCAAAAGATAAACTGTCTCAAGTGGAAAGCTTGAGAAGATTTGGGAGCCTAGGGGCCAAGCAGATAAAGCCCGCAGTGAGGGTGGAGCAAAGGCAACAACAAGCCAAGTGTGGCCCTTGTTTTGTTTTTAAGGCAGAGCCATAGTGGAAATGGATTTCAAAGAGTCCTCTGTAGGAAGTCAGGTACGATGCAGGCTATCAAGTGCACAGGAACAAACAAACAATGAAGGATTTGGACAGGAAAACTCCATAGAAAGAACAAACCTTCAACCTCCAACAAGTTCCTCCTGAGTTTCAGTCGAGATCATAATAGCCCTTTAGGCTTAATGAAGAGAAACACGTAAGGGGTGCTCACTGCAGAGCACTCAACAATGCTCCAAGCACTATCGCAAGGGCCTTTTCCATATCTTACTCAACCTTAGAGCTGCTCTGAGGTAACACTGTTGTTCATGTCTATGGATGGGGAGACCTAGGCCTAACTTGCTGTGGTTAAATGCCAACTGGTATTCACATCTAGTCAGGCTGTCCTCAGACAGAGCTGATGTGCTTGCTGGAAAGACTTTTATGTACAAAGCGCAACTGACGACAGTGCCCAAGATAATCTTAACAACTTAGTGGAGATAGAGACAAAGGGAGGGGAAAGAAGGTAAAAATGAGTGAAATAAGAGATCATGTTAAAGAGGATCGAAGCTGGCCATGGGGGTGCACACTTGCGATATCTTAGCACTCAGGAGGCAGAGCCAGAAGCTTGTCAGAAATTGGAAACTAACCTGGACTACAGAGTAAGATCCAGCCTCAAAAAAACAAAACAACCAAGCAAGTAAAATGCTTGCCTTATAGGCATGAAGGCATGAGCTCTATACCCCAAACTCACATTAAAAATGCTGGGCAGAGTGGCATGTGTTTGTGATCCAAACACAACAGTGACTCCACAATGATTCCACGGCTATGAATTCCTAAAAAAGAAAACTGATGTGAGAAAACAAATTCCTGTTTGCCAGGGATCGGGAATTGGAGAAGGGACTCACTGTAAAGGCCATGATGTGGATCAGGGATGGAGGAGGCACTCACTGCAAAGGCCATGATGTGGATTGGCAACGGAAGAGGGACTCACTGCAAAGGCCATGGCATGGACAACTCACTGTGCAATGGAATCTGGTGAGTTCTATTGTTCATTTTCTAAAAAGAAAAAAAGGGGGGGCTGGGGAGGTGGGGAGGATCTGAGAGGAGTTGGAGAGGGGAAACCATGATTAGAATAGATTAAATGAAACTTTTTAATTATAAAAATGCATAAATTTTGAGTACCTATTTTCAACAAGCTTTTCAAAGAATCCTTTCAATTAAAACATTTTTGAAGCCAGGCAGTGGTGGTGCACACCTTTAATCTCAGAACTTGAGAGGCAGAGCAGATGGATCTCTGTAAGTTTAAGGCCAGCCTGATCTACAGAATGAGATGCAGAACAGTCAGAGCTGTTATACAGAGAAACCCTATCTTGAAAACACAAGATAAATAGATAAACACAGACAGACAGACAGATAGAAAGAGAGATAGGTAAAAGACATTTTAGTCTAGAGGTTTAGCTCAATGGCACATCACCTGCCTATTGTGAGTGAATCCCTGGATTCAGTCCTGGATTTAGTCCTTAGCACTAAAGGAAAAAAGAAGAAAATAAGAAAGAAAGAAAGAAAGAAAGAAAGAAAGAAAGAAAGAAAGAAAGGAAGGAAGGAAGGAAGGAAGGAAGGAAGCAAAAGAGAGGGAGAGAAAAGGGGGGAGGGAGAGAGAAAGAGAAAAAAGAGAAAAAGGAAAACACCTTGGTAGAAAAATATTTATTTGTGTAAACAGCTTTTCACAGCTATAAGCAGTGTTTACCTCTTGACTCCTATAAGAGACATCTTTAAGTTGTCTTCTAGAAAAAGGCAAAATAAAGAAGAGCTTAAACAGTGACCCTAAATGCAATGGAAAGATTCCCAAATTGTTCAGCACATACACACACCAACTACCTAGCCAGCACTTTTTCTGAGATAGCAGAGGCTGCAAATTCAGGCCAAACAGGAGCCACAGAGATAACACAAAGAAGCAGCATGGCAGAAGTTGCACACTGGGAGACTGAAGAGCACATGGCCCTTCCCAATTAAACTGCCACCATTGGGTACTGCTAACTGATGCCACCCAAAGACACTGGCTCCAAGGGAGCTGGAGACTCTGATGTTTAAACACATGCAGACATCTGGACTCAGGTAATATTTTCTGATTCTTTCTGGAATAAGGCTTCCATTTATTTTCTAATACCACCAAATAAACAATCTCCACAGGTGAGCCCATGACCTGGAGTCCACAGTACATGCTTTCTGAATTTGTTCAGCAGCAGAGGCAGGTCTTTCTACTAATTGCTTACCTCTTTAATTGTAGAGAATCTAGAATGGTGTGGGATATCAGTGCAACTGAATTAGAATTCATCTCAAAATTACAGAAAGGATGGCCACTTGTTGGAAAGCGCATTTCTAAGCACACTGATTGGTATAAAAGTTGATATGTCTGAGCGTACTGACTGGTCCAAAGAGAGATGAGTCTGAAGAAGCTGGGGTAGAGGCAGCACAACTTTTACAGTCAGTGTCCAGACTCCAGAGCAATGAAATAATCCACGTGCTGAAACTTGAGGACTTCGTTGCCCCAACTCATCCAGCCTGGCTGTAAATTCCGAGCAAACAGTTCCAGACACTGCCCACCTGGCTTGATGTAGTCTTTCAGTACTTCTGTACAAAAAGAAAAGAAAAAATCAGCAGTAAGGAAGAAATCAGGTTACTTTTTAAAAGCAGAGAAGAATAGAAGAGGCAGATATTTCAGCTTTTAAGACAGACAGCAAATTAGAGTCAAGCATGCCATGGTCAGCTCTGCCATTCGTGTCAGAAATGTGAAGGAGAAAGCACCTGCAGGCTTGGAAGCAGCACCACTGCGACCACACTAGTTCTGATTCACTGCTCTGCATTTACAGATGAGAAAGGAGGCGTTCACGTTTCTTTCCAGTTTTCCAATAATGCTCACACCTCTCCTGAGAACTAATTTACTTTATTGCTTAATAAATACAATCTATAAATTCAAAAAACTGTAGAAACAATATAAAGACAACCTGCTTGAAACTGAAGATGAACTATAAGTCTAGTTTTAGTACATCCTTTAGTGAAATAATTAAGCAAAGAGTTGTATACAGACAGACGTATTTAACCATCATAACTACATCCCATGTCTGGAATTTGCATGTTCTAAGATTACTCCAACACTATAGTTCTTTGCCTAAATTTCACCACGCTATTTCTAGTTAAGGAGTCCTTATTTATATAGTCATAACTACAACATGGAAAATCACCTTTTGTTGGAGAGAAAACACTTCATTTAGATTAGTTAAGTAACTGCGGTCTGCAGTGCCTGAGAGAAAGGAAAGCCACAGCAATATGTTTTAAAAAGCACTCACTCCCTTCGAGGACAAAAGAATCATCCTAACCCTGACCAGGTTCTGGCTGCTCTGCTAACCACATAACAGGAATGGGTATAAAAGCAGTTCCAAGAAGAAAGAACTTTAGCAAGCAGAATGCAGTTCACAGTTGCTATATTAGATTGGCCTTAGAAGAATGACAAACAAGACTTCTTCAGGATTTTTCGTTTTTCCTTGGAAATAAGGATCCAGCCCAGGGCCTGTACATGCTAGGCAGGGACTCCATTTCTGAGCTACACCTCCATTCTCAGATTTCCTTGGGAACAACTGAAGGTTTAAGAGATAACCATTGTAAAGTTAGAAACACAATACAGCAGGGTGGATCTGGGGGGATCTGTGGGAGAGGAAGTAAAAATGGTCAAAATATAAGAAACTCTCAAAAAAAAATTAAAAACATTTTGAGTTTCAGATTGTTCTTTGTCCAAGAGTAATATTCTTACTTACCAAAAATCAAAGGGAAATTAAAAGCTGTTATCGCCTGCAATTGACTAACTCAAACTTAGGCTTTGGTAAGTTTCTAGATGTTGACATAAAAGACTCTATTCATTTCAAAAATATGGAGCTAAACACAGGGCAACTCAAAAGAGAAAACTTTTCTTGAGACCTAACCGAGAAAACCGTAACTCCCCATCTGTTTTCTAGAAGTTAACATAAGCTAAGGTATAGTGGTTTTACTTAGGTTCTGCAGTCTTTCGGGAAAGATGTTCTCTTGATGATGGGGCCAGAGAGACAGCTCAGCCATTAACAGCCCTTGCTGCAACTGTGAGAATGAGTGAGTCTCTCTCTCTTGCCTGTTCCTGAGACTCTTTTCCTCCTGCTGGGTTTTATGTCCAATTTCAATGCAAGAATTTTTGCTTTGCATTGTTGTATTTTATTTTGTCATGTTTTGTTGTTATCTGCAAGAGGTCTATTATTTTCTAATGGGAATATTGAGAAGGAGTGGATCTGGAGGGGAAAGGAGGAAATGAGGAACTGGAAGGAGTTGAGGGAGGGGAAATTATGATTGAACTGTATTGTATGAGAAGGGAATCTACTTTCAATAAAAGGGGGGAAAACACTTGCTGCTCTTAACAGAGGAGCAGGATTTGATTCCCAGCACCCACATGGTGGTCCAGAAGCATCTGTAACTCTAGTTACAGGGGATTCAGTGTTCTTTTCTGGCATCTGCAGGCATCTGGGATGCATATGGTGTACAGACAAACATGTAAACCAAACACATATACATGTAAAATAATTTTTTAATTTAAAAGATATATCTTGAGGTTTTGGAGCAAGAGAGAACAGTTCATGTTTTGAGTATCCATAAAGCAGTTTAAAAAGATTCACAGGAAACGTTCTCAGTGTATGTAGACACCACATATCGTGCCAACCCCCAGAGTTAGGATTTCACTGTAAAACTAACAACAGGAATCCTTATGTTACTTTCAAGGTATTTATTTGTACCTGTCTATAACTAAAACGCATGTACTAACCTAATATGAACTCAAAACCAAGGCACCATATATACTTCATGTATATGACTAGGTAAAAAGCTTGGAAGTTAACTCTATTAAGTCATTCAGATTTTCCCCACAATACAACTTTGAGTTGAAATGTTTTCAATTTTAAATGTGTTTGTGCTGCTCTCTACTGGCAGTACGCAGAACTGCACTTTATAGACTATTCAGGGCAAGACTAATTTTAAGCCACAGTCTTTAAATATTTTCTCTTCAGAATAATCTTTACATGTATTTGTATTCTATTGATAGGAAATGGCAAATAAATTAAAATTATATCAGAATGAAAGGCTTGGAATATTAGATTTTTTTGTAATTTTTTAATAACAAACTATAAACCCTAAAACAAAAGACTTATAAATTAAGCTTTGGTACATACCAAATGATAAACAAAATTCAAGTATACAAATTAGATTCCATTAAAGTACAACTGGTATTAAATCATTTTTTCAAGAAACAATAGAGTTCACTTTCATCTAGGTCACAAACTAACGCATTAGCATTTATAGAGTCTCAGGTATGAGATTTCAGGGTATCCTTCTAAGCCAAAGAACAGTCAAACACATCGGCGTATTTCTCAAATTAAAGGTATAGTAAGGACTCCTTTGCAAAGTTATTCAAGGTAACAGAAATCCTGAGTTCACTATCTTATGTTGGTTGTATGTCTGTGTGTGTATCTGTATTTTCAGGTGTGGTATAAGACTGAGTTCCAGAGTGCACTTGCCAAGGTCAGAGTAGATGTGCTCCTTCATGGCTTCCTGCCTTACTCCTTGGGGCAGGTTCTCATTGAACTTGAAGCACAACCCCTGGCTAGACTGGCTGGCCAGTGAGCTCTCTGTGAAGTGCCTGTCTCTGTCCCAGTGTGCTTTAGGCACACGTGTGCTTTAGGCACACAAACACAGCCATGCCCAGTTTTTTACACGAATGCTGAGGACTTTAACTCATTCTTGACGAGCAAGCACTCTTACCCACTGTGCCATCTCCCCAGCTTCCCTAAGTTTACTTTCTTATGTCTTTATTTCCTAGCTCATATTGTGCAAAAGTAAAACTGATAATCAGCCCATAGATTTTAAGTAGTAATGATCAAAATAGTAAAATATCTTCCTGAAGAAATTTTCAAAAAATAAACTTGGAATATCAAAGTTAGGCTCTCAAGAACTTCCATGAGCAAGTCTTTAAACTTTCACTTGAAAAAACAACGAGTATTTATTGCCTTTTAAATACACCATAAACAATGTAATCACTACTTATGCGGTATAAGACATCATTACTCACTCTGGGAATGAGGGTGGCAAGGAAAAGACTGAAGTAACCTGCCAGAGCAGCAGAGCCAGGACTCACATGCACGTGAGCCAATGCCCATGGCTAACACTGAACGAGGAGCACCATGCTCAGCACTCCAGCTTGAGGGAACAGAAGCCTCAGCAGCTTCCTTCC